CTTGCGGTTGAAGGTGGTTGGTTTATTAAGGTGGTTGACCCCAAGTCAATTCAGCCCGTCCTACCGTGAAAGGTTGCGAAATCCAGAAATCGCACCACCCAAGAAACCAGAAATGATGGTTGAAACGTTGTTTCCAGTGGTCTCCTAGAATCGAACCAGAGAAATCCGGAGTTGATTCGAAATCATAATGATTCGATTCCGAGTGGAGAGCAGTAAAAAGTGACAGGAAGAGGGTTTTTTTGGTGGTATTGTTAAACATCAAAGCATCCATATCTCCAAACAACCCATACCTGATGATGTGGTTAACAGGGGTTTCAAGGTGGCAACCTCCAGGTTGCCTAGTCGCCCAGAAGGCTAAAAGTCTAAACATAAGCATTACCTCCAAACCACACCTGATGTGGCGAAGAGGGGTGTTGAGGTGGTAAATCCATAGATCCTCACAATGCCGATGGCCCCAGCCCCCAATAGTGAAGTATTTGCTGTCTAGTGGCAGCAAACAATCCGGCAAACTTTACTGTTGAGTGGGAAAATGCATCATCCCAAAGAGTTAAAGTGGCTGCGGGTACCCTGGTAAGTGGAAACATGGACCAACATCTGCGTAACCCCCATGTTTAATTTTGAGCCACACCCAAGTCAGAAAAAAGCAACAAGCAGACAAGGAAGCGTCTAGTTGCCAATGCCCTCAGGAGCCTGCTCCTAGGAGCCCGCGCTCACATCGTCTGCAGTGGTGTTGCCCTCATCCTCCCGGATGTAGGCCTACCGAGTGCCCGTTCTCTCTGAGGATCTGCTTGAAAAAAAGCTGGATGAGTGACGAGATGCCGGAAGTAGTCACTCAAGATCACTCAAGGGAGAAACCCGCTCCCGTCTCAAACCATCTTCTCGCCGAGCAAAACGAGGAGCTTGTTCTGCTGGCTATCGCTGATTTCGACGCCGCTGCAAAACTGGCGGGTGGAAAGTGTTTTGATGAGTCAGTGACTCGACCGGTGGCAACAAGGTCTATAGATTAATCAGTGGATGGGCGAAATCATACGAAATCCGATTCGCACAAGACCCGGCCACAAAAAGAAACAGCGAAGCAAGCTGCAAAAGGTGAGTCAAGTAAATGCAAGGCGATCTAAGGGCCATCTGGATGGCCGTCGCCAACAAAGAAGCACCCGGTTGCCCAGTGATCCTGGTAGAAAAGAGCTGGAAGGCTTCTGTGGGTTCACCACTTTTGCAGGACCCCCCACCCAACAAGGAGAAATCTAAACCAAAAACGCCACTGAACTCGGGGCCACTTCGCCAGCCTCGATGGGGTCCTTCTGGAAGGACATCACCACCTTGAAACCGGCTGGATATGGTTGGTCAAGCTTTGGACACCCCTCACTGCCCAAAGGACACTGGGGTCATTATTATGATTGTTTCTAGGCGCTGGCAAAGTCGGAAAATGGGGATTATTAACCCACCACTGAACGAAGGGTGAGGCTGATCCATGCGGCATTAACTCAGTTGCCCAAAGGACCCAGAAATACAAGGTTAATCTTTTGACTTATGAAACAAAAATGGAGCAACACAAGAAAACAAAAAAGGTCAAAAGGTCGGCTTTGGGCAAGTGAGTTAAACAAGGGTCCTGATCCTGAGAATAGCAACCTGAACATTGATCCAAAATGCCCTCAAGGCACCTTTCACTTGCACCTTTACCCGGGAAAAAAAAAGAAAAAAACAAAAGAAAAAAAAACCTGACGGTTTGTATCAAAATTGGGTGGCTCTCTTTGTTTCCCAATGGAAAAGCAATTTGGGTGTCTGCTTTGAGGTTGGACCCCCCCAAACAAAATGGTTGTCCTTTTGCTGTCTATTGAAACCACCACAAACAACGTGGTGACCCTCAAACTCATTTCAATCCAAAAGGTCTACTCAACTGTCAATTGCCCACAAAGGCCTGGAAATACAAGGTTCAGCTTCTCACTTCCGATCGAGATCCCAACCACAGACTAAGGGGATACACTAAAGCGTCTGATTCTGCCTCTTGAGACCACAAGCCCCAGAAACCGTCGGGCCACTAGGAAGAACGCCCGCGAATCGGTGCCGGTGAGGGCTCAACTCCTTGAAAGGCGCCGAGGTCCACACAACTTCGTCGCCACTCCATGAAAGCGTCTGGAGTCCAACTGTCAGGGCTTTTGGCAGGCTTAATAGCTGGGCTGCTCAAAATGGAGGGTTGGTCTAATCCATAATCCCTACGAAGCCACGGATGACCTTTGAACAGCCCAGAATAGAAATGGGTGCAGTCAGCGAGTACTTGGAGCGATGGAATAGATAGTCACACCAAAGGCCAGCCAAGTTTTCTGGCTGGGGCTAAGTCCTTCCGGGAAGCTCTGTGTAGCGGTCAGGCGGCTCTCAAGCCCGCTTAGCTCCCCGCTCGCCGGGGGTGGCTCCATACACCTCGGGTATTGCAAAATGCCGGGCGGCTTTTGTGCGGGGTTGGTGTACCTGCAGGATCTCAGTCGCCCCTTTGGGCCCAGAAATGCCAGGCTAACCTTTTGGGCTCGGACTAAGGGGACACTAGCAGGACAAAGGGTTGGCTGTTGGCAAGCGAAACCTGGTAGGGGCACCCACCGTATCCAGAAAAAGGAGACTGTTCAGCCGCCTGACCTGCTGGAAAATCACGATCCGGGCACCGAAATAGTGAGAATGTGTTGAAAGCTGTTGGAAAATCACGATCCGGCTTTCCTCCCCCGGAAATGAACATGGAACCTCATCATTTTTACTCAAATTAAAACTTTTGCGGGGCTCCGTCTGTAAAGTGGCAGCTTGTTTTCGACGCGAAGCCTCCACCAAACCAGCCTGCCCCCTCCGGTCGAGTCCGCGGCAGTTCTTCACCAGCTCACAGGCTGGCCTGAGCACCAGGCAACGTGTTCTTAGCTTCTCCACCGCCCTTCATGGCATTCAGTTGACCCAGAAACAAAAGTCTGATCACCTAAAAGGGGTCGCTAAAATTGGGAGGGAAAACAACACGATTGATCCTCTCTCGCATGTTGCAAGTGACGGTGTGGTCTGGTGCAAAAGGTTTACCTTTTGAGCCCGTCACGTCGCGAGAACTTCAACGTAACCCGTGGGCCCCGGGTAGAAGACCAAACTGGACTTGGAACCCTTCTTTCGATCAACTGGGGTTGAGTTGACCGAAAGGACATTCCACTCACATTTGGCCCGCCCTTCCCCCTTCCCCCCCCCTACCCAAACTGTTGAGCCAGCGCAACTGATCTGACACAGAATTACCATCTGAGAACCCCTTCAGTGAGTTAGCTGCGGGTCAAACATGGGTACCCAAATTTCAACCCTGGTAAATGGAAATATGAACTAACATCTGCGGTCCCCTGGCTGTTGTATTTTGACCCACAGCCAGTTGAAACCAACTCCTTCCACAAGCCTCGCATGTTTTTTTGTTTTTTTCCCCGGGGCGTTTCCGCCTGTGAGCCTCGAAGAAGGGGTGCATGGAGGGGTTGGGCTCCACGCAGAGCCCGCCTCAGAGCCGCAGGCTCCCGCTCGACGCGCTGCCGAGAGGGCCGAAGCGCCGAGGCAGTTTTTGGATGGGATCTCACGTCCGATCGAGTGGATGATTTGCCGCAAACCCGAAAAAAAGCGACTAAAGCCCAGGAACTCAGGAAGTGATGGGGAACATCAAGTGGACCCCGGGGGGTTTCTACCTAAGGCCAAAAGATACACCCTGGGCCAAGCCAGTTTCCTGTCAGTGAGGTGATGTGGTCAGACGTGAGAAAAAAGGGGGAGCATGGAGCCTTCCGTTTGCGTGTTATTAATTCTTGTTGGTTTGACATTTATCACCATTGGACATATGTCGGTCTTTTTTCCCAGGGGACCGAACAAGCAAATGGAAGGGACGCTCTGTTTCTCAGGGCAGGCGCAGTGGAGGAAGGGCATCTGCGTAAGGGAGCTTCATGATGAGCTCGTGTTCCCCCGTGTGAGCACACTATAAGTAGCAAGGAACGCAAGAAGCCTTGAGTAGACCAACAAAGCCAAACAAACCCCAATAGAATCCCAACGAAGCCTTGAATCTCTGAGGAACTGCAAAAAAACGAATTGTTGGGGGCCTCGCACTTTTTGGCGGACCTTGTCGTATCCTTGTGCCACTCACACATGTCATGTTGAAGTGTGACAGTTGCTCCTTCAGGGTTGACACTCGTGTGCGCCCTTGGCCATGTTTGGCCGAAAAACCTGGCCGTCTCGTTTCGCTGAAACGCAAGAAAAAGAAAGCCAAGGGAAGCCCGGGCGAATGTGGATGGCACATACATCCCCAATAAGAATCGGTCAAGCGGATGACAAAGCTCATCGGGACATGTCACGCCGCCTACTTGCACCCCACCCAGTTAGCACTATAGAAGATTGCCAAGCACTTGCCTTTTGGTGTTTCTATTGGTGGTTCCCACTCGCCCGATTAATCAAAGTCAGCCAAGTGGTCAGCTTAAGGGAAACAGCAACCCTATTTTATGAGTCTAATCCCCGGAAACAGCATGACTCCAGCCCCTTGGTTGGTTAACTTGGATGTTCGGGAAAGGGTTGGCCTGCTTGGTTATGAGGGTGATCTCTACTGAACGGGGGACTTATAAGTGGGGTACCACTGAACGGTTCCCAACAATCGAACACCCATGTAGCAACCATCAACCCGCCCTAGGGAAGTCTCAGGGGGACCCAGGAAACTCTTCACTTGTTTGGTGCCCATCCATGTTTTTATTTATACCGCTTGGGGAAACAAAGGAACCGATTAACCGATTCCTTTAAGCAGGGTTTCTAGTTTCTACACCTGTCGAAAAATCACTTAGCCAGCTGATCTCGAATATGCGCCAGGCTCGATTTTGGAGCGCCCAAAGCTTGATAAATCACTTGTTTTTGTTGACCGTGTTTGGCACAAAAGGCTGGGCCAATATGGGTGCGTCTTTTCTTGGGGAATTTCAAGACTGCGGATTTCCTTTGGGTTTTCCTTTCAAACGACAAAAAAGGGGTACCCTCAAAAAAGACACACCAATAAATCTTCGAAATTCTGCTTCAGCTAGATGATGCGACCGCTTCGAGCGACATGGTGCCAAGCAGAATGGGATTGTAAAGGGCCGGGTTCCACCAAACAACTGGAAAGGAAATTGCCAACACTGAACTCCCCAAGCCGCCCGACTCACGCCGCCCTGACGGGCACCCCCAGAACACTGACCGATGGATGGGTGTGTCAAAATAAATAGGGGACCGCCCGCAAAGGCGGTTTCCTGTTGTTTTCCCTTTGCACCTCGAAAACGCAGCTGTCAAGGGAAACCAAGGGAAAAACAAGGGGAAAGCACGGGAAGCAAGCGAAAGCAATCACATCCAGCAAGACAAACCATCCATCAAGGGAAACAAGGGGAAACCAGGGGAAACCAAGGGAAACCAAAGGAAACCAACAAAAAAACAGGGAACATCAAGGGAAACAAGGGGAAACAAGGGGAAACCAAGGCAAAAAGGGACAAGGGACTTGGTTCACCCAAAGCTGTTTGTCCGAGGCTCGCCAGCCCAAGCAGCGCTCGAAGAAGTAGGTGTTGGAGAGATGGATGGGGTGAAAAGCGCCCACATCCACAAACCTCGACAAGGGGGGGGGGGGCTGCAGAAAAATGGGTTAATATGTGGACCTATACAAGCAGCAATTGAAAGGGGAGAGCAGCTCCGGCAGGGAGAATCTGAACCCCTACCTCTGGAGAAAGGACTGCAGCAACTTGCGCAGTTCAGAAACCCATGCCGGGCCAACTGTCCTGTTTGGCCGAATTTTACCTTGCGGGTCCCTTGGCAACAACAAGAGAGTCATAAGCAAAACCCGGTACTAAAAGGTCGACCCAGAACCATGTAAAGAATTAAGAAGGCGGCCACAGCTATTTATGGCTGGGATTATCCCTTACTAACCTTCTTCTACCCGGGTTTGATTGTGGATGGGTGTGTGTGCGTGTGTCAAAATAGCCACCTCCAAAAAGGTGTCCCTTTCAAACCAGCCACAAAAAGGGAACCAACAAAACACCCTGGGGACCCTGGTGTATCTTGTGCCCAAGATAGAGGGAGTACCAAAAAGGGACAGCGGGCCCTGTTGACAAGCCCTTTTTGGCACTAAGAAGCACCAAGCAAACTCATGGTAGTGTGGCCTCAAAGGGTCCTCTGCTGATTTTGGTATCATCTGCATATCTCAGCATTTCCCAGCTTCGAAACTCAATGGCAGCCACACGGATGCCTGAATCCCAACTGCACTTCCTCACGTGAAACAAACTCGTGCAGCTCCAAACGTCCTGCACAAAAACAACTCCACACATGTTTCAGGAAAAACTGCGGAAAAAACTGCGTTCACCTCGAACGTTTGGCCAAAGAGACACCTCCCTCAAGAACAAAGTACCTGCAAACTTTCACAAGCTTCCTCTTTCACCAATACCCCCCACCCAATACCCCCAAACCTTAAGCCAAAAAGAAGCGAAAACATCGAAAACAAAGACCACCACATGGGAAACTCGGGCGAATCAAACGCGGCTTGATTCTCCCTAGGTCCTCCGGTAGAGGTTAGAAAAAGGGCAATATTTTATCTGCATACTCTATTTTAGTAGGGGAACCCTCCCAACCAAAAAAGGGGTGAGAAAGGGCACCACTTCACAGCATTGTTTCAGCCAACTTCTTCCACAACTGTAGGGTGGTCCGTTGTCCCCTCAAAACGCGCGGGTTCAACACACGCGCAACCCAAGTGAGTGACAGTCAACACCTAGTACTTCCGCCTGAGCCAAAACCACGGCGCTGCACCTCGCTTTGGCCGAAGGCGCACTCCCTGACGGTCTCCCGCGGCACCTGCGGCTGATGGTGCCGAAAACCAGCAAATGGAGCCATGAATAACATAGGGGTCAAGGAAGAAAGAAGGTCTTCCAACCATAAGATGGAACCATACATGGACTTCATGGGGTCAAATAGGGGTCACTCCCCTCCCCCAATTCCATATTTAAGGGTGACCCAGAAACAAAAGGTCAACCTTTTGGGGCCATGACAAGGGTTTGGTTTCCGGCAGGTCATAAGGGGCTTATTTTCGCCCAGGAAACCCATGCTTCCTTGGCTCACTTCCGATCGAGTGACTTGGCGAAAAACTCTGAACCATGGTTTTTGGGAACTCCCACAGTTTCATTCATTCCCCTGAAGACCACCCATGCTCATTCCCATGAAACCATCCATTTTTGGGAGATCACAAACATGGCGCGAGGGAATTCCCAACGTCTGGGAATTCAGGGAGAGAGACCTGAGGCCCACGACAAAAACTTGCGATCCCTGCGATAGGACTTTTCTCCAAGTCCGGGAGTTGGGGCCATGAGCCGGTTTTGGGGAAAACCGAATTCAAATTGGAAACCAAATCGGATGAATGGGTTATTTCAGGGTCATTCCAAGTCTTCCCGAGAATCTTCCCCATGAAAGGGCTACTAGAACCATAAATGGATTCCCCAATTCCATATTTAAGGGGGTTGGCATGACCCAGAAACAAAAGATCAACCTTTTGAGACCATGACTAAACATGCAAACCCAATTACAATGTCAAAAGGTCGACTCGCTTTGGGCAAGCAAGCTTTTCAGTTGATGTCATCCATTCGCAGAAGTCCCCTCAAACAAAAAAGAACGTGTGTTCAGTAGTGACAGGCTTTCTTTAACATCAGAGAAAGTTCGGTTCTGTTGTTGTGTAGACCAAAAACGGAACACTGTTGCTCTTGGTCTTGCACCTGCCCTTTAACCCAAACCCCCCTTCAGTGGCCATGGGGGAAAAGGGCACTCTGTAGGCAGGGCACACGGGTGCCGCACCTGAACCCTTCTTGGTGAAATCATGAAGCCTGAATGGGCGTTCCCAGTAAAACTGGGGAACACCTGTTCAAGGGGCCTGCTATGGTTCATGTTGGTGAAGGGGTATCTTAAGGACAATTTGGGTAGCACCCCTTTTGTCAAGAGCCTTACCCGGCTTGCAGGGAGGGTGCCTTGAATATTCCCTCACCTGCGACCAGTGCTTCAAGGCGCCAAATTCATCTAACCTTTGGTTGGTCCAACAAACATGTGACCCCAGTCATGCCCAGTGGATGCTGGTCAAGCCTATAGTAGGTAATCAGCTATTTTGCCTTGTGGCCTTTAACTTGTGGTTCCCTTGGCTACCTGTTACACAGGCAAATGGATCCACTGGGATAACCATTCCCCCTCAACACCGGGAGGCGAAACAGCACAGCTTAAGAAAATGTATGTTTGCCCTACCAGCCGCCAGGCTGCCTTGACAAGTCGCGCACTCACGGGGAATAGAGTTTGCTGGAATACTTACAGGTGCAGGGTACTTAGGAAGTGGTTACCAGGGTTGGCTAGAACCCACTTAGGAGACTTATAACCATGATAAGTGGGTTATAACCAATCTTAGTAACCACTTACTTAGTACCCCACCTCACCCCTTTAAGAAGGGCTTGCTAGAAGATTGCCTCCCCCGCCCGAGACAACACCAGCTCGTTTCGCCAGTCTGTCCAGGATAACTTGCCAAATGCATGAAGGAACCTACTATACATATACATATATACTATATGTTGCGTAATGTTCAGACCCGCGCAACAAAGGCAAAACACAAACAACCAATGCACCCCAAAGAACTGCAAACATCAAGAGCACTCCCAACAGACTCCGAACATTCCCTGAAGTCATGTGTGGTAGGTGCCTTGTCTTGTTCTTTGGGGTGTTCTGAGTTGGTGGCTCCTAGGTTGAACAACAAAACTGGACTATTTCCGCTGGGGACCTGGTAGGTTACGACGTGGGTTACTTACCACTTACTAAATTGGACACAGCCCAAGCTAGCGTGGAGCCAGGCATAGGTTTCCAGGCATCAACCAAAACCCCACCTACAGGAGCTCACGGTTCACAGGCCCAATGTGCGCTGCCCACGTCTGCACTCCTGAACCCCCTACTTGGCGAGGGAACCATCAACTATGGCAGTGGTTGTCAACACCCAGGAAACCCCAGGTGAACATCAAAGGTGGTACATGGATGAACAAATCCGCCCCAAAATGGAGGTATAGGTTATGATCCATAGCCATATAGTTACTATGGTCTTATTTACCACCAAAATGGTCTTCCCAAGCTCAAAGTCCGGAATTCAGGGAGTGACAATGGCAAGCGGTCCCAAATTGGGTTCCTTCATATGATGTTGACAAAGTCAGCGTTTGCCCCCGGTTCACGTCCGAAGTCAAGCACTTCAGAGACGGGCGCCGACGTCCAGCGGGGAGTTTTTGAAGAAGTTCTTGTACACGAACCAATCTTGCCTCGCGCTTTCCCGAGAAAAAATGCCCTCCTTTGTAGGAAGTCCTGTTGCAGCTCCAAAAGGTAACGCCTAAAATGGTTTCCCGCCGGTGTCCCATTTGCTTGGTTTCCCTTGAAACCAAAATAAAAACATGGTGGTGAAAGAAACAGACACACACACACACACCCAAATACACACGCTCGACAAGTGAGTTGGTTGCTGCAGGTGGAGCCAATCCGGGCTCTGGAGCTTGTTCGCACTTGCGATCCAGTGGATTGGCTGGAACAAAATCCACGTTTTTGGAACATGGTTTTGGGGAATTCCCATGGTTTTGGGGAATTCCCATGGTTTTGGGGATATCCCTTTTGGATTGGCTACAAACTCTCCAGGACTTGTTGGATGTCACAAAAACATTGTTGTACCTTTGTTTCCTTCACTTTTTAGGTTGCCAGCGAGCCATTCTTGAGTTGGGTGAACCATCCATGTTTTTGGAGGTTGCAAACGATGGTCTTCCCAAACTACCATGAAGTCCAGGTTCTTCAAAAGTCTTTCATCTGCGGGTTGCACGTGCTTTAACATGTCATAGACTTCCAACAGCGGCCTCTGCACCAAACCATGCTTGTTTGCCGGCACGGTATCCCTATGAAAGCTACGGCACGGCGAAAGGAAAACATCACGACGAGTATACTGCACTCATCGCAAAAAGGACGCCAACACGCCCTTCCCCCAAGCCTCCTTGCAAAAAACAAAAACGGATGACATAGATGACATAGCAGAAAAGAACCGAAAGAAGAAGATGACACATGTGGTCTTTACGCCAAGTCTTTCTACCAAACAGGCAACCACCAAACCGACTAAAAAATCTGAATGCCCAAGCTTGAAGGCCCCTGGAAAAACAAAACTTCTTTCCAGCTGTGATGGATTGCCATCAAAAGCCAACAGAACAAAATCAACAAATATGGAAGCAACCGGATGGCTGGGAACCATCACTAGGTCCTCCAGATTTGAGAGGTTTGAATAAGCGCACCACCTTTCTTCTCTTTTTTTGTCTATTTTAGGGGAACCCCCCCCTCAAAAAGGTGTGAGAAAGGGGGGACCTAGACCAAGTCGTCAGGCGCCTTTTGTTGCGGTTTTCCCGAACCACGCCCAACGCCCGTTGCCACGCGCACGTTGCCCCAGCGAGCTGCTGCCATTGGGAGGCGGAGCTGGGAACGCTCGCGCCCAGCATGCCATCGCAATCGATCCTCTGGGCTGGGTCGAATGTCCCGACGTGGAAGATCGCGAAAGCCAGCCATCTTCTTCTGCGGCCCAAAAAGTGATCTCATTTGATGGTTGAAAGGCAAAATTGAGGCAAACAAACGATGGAAAACCGAAAGGGCGAAAAGTGCAAAAAGCCAAACATGCCGGGCAATTAGTTTGTGCAACAACCACCTTTTGGTGTTCCGTTGCTTGAACACAGCCTCGCTCTAGGGGGGCATCTCAGTGTCAAAGTCGCCGAAACGGGGCCTTCCGGTTCCCACTGTTCGACCTGTGCCCTAACCCGCCCTCGTTGCCCAAACCTGGATTTCTTTCTGGTGGTTTGGAGGGATTTGCACTTTTGCTTGGTGGAACTGAAAAAGAGAACCCTCCAGAAGAAGAAAGAGAAGAAACCAAACGGCCTAGCAGGGCGCAAACTGGGCAAGGGTGGGAAGTGAAGGTCCCGGCATCGACACCTTCCGGGCTGCCAATTCCCATCCGGATTAATTGATAAACCCTTTTTCAATATGTTTGCTTGGTTGCTGTTGACCCCCGTGCAAAAAGTTTAACTTTTTTGTGGTTTAGTGGAAAACGCCTTGATGTTGCAAAAAAAATAGAGCCTAAAGATCCAACCCAATAGAAGTCTCAAGTTTGGGTGTTCCCTCCAGTCTGAATCCATCAGTTGGGACCTTCTCCCAATGAATTCGCGCAGCCCTTGAGGGAAAACCTGCGCAGCCTGGCTGGGGCACTGGCTTGGCCTCGAAAGATTCGTAAACCCTATTTAGGTTTCTAGCCCCTCCAGTAGACAGGTTACAATAAGGGTACCCATTTGTTTCTGTAGTCCTTATTCTAGTAGAGGAACCCTCCCAAAGGGCTTAAAAAGGGCACTACTGGGAGACCTAGGTTTAGAGGACCACCTTTGTACCGGCCCCTTTCTTTTTTTGCGCAATGGAGCCAACTCAGAGGTTCTGTGTGAGACAACTGGAAACTGCCAGAACTCTGGTTTGACCCCTGTGCTGGTCATGGAGCCCGTGTGTGTGTGCTGATGTTGACCCTGTTCCCCTGCAAAAGTGGAGAATCCCCACCAAAACCAGGGGCACCCCCCCCTATGAAGAACTTTAATCCGGGTCAACATTAGTGGTTGGGCGATCTAAATTACTCCCAAATAAAACCCATGTGTAGATGAATCCGACCAACCAAAAGATGGGTTTCACGCAAAACAAATGCAGGAGAGCATGGACCCAAACCCTTCAGGAAACCAGGCACCTGAATCCGAAAATTCGAGAAAGAGGCATTAGCTGCGGGTGCCTCTTTTTGTTTCTTGCACCTACATAAAACTGTTCATGCTGTGGATGGACGAAATCCTGCACCATCTAAGAAATCGTGGAATGATGATTCCCCTGAAAATACCAACAAGAAATGGTTTCAACCATAGTTTCCAAGTGGCGCGAAATGGATTTTGTCCCCCCACAGTATCTCGTTTAGCCCCACAAGAATCAGAACTCACTTTGGGATTGGAGACCTTGCTCTCAGCTTGCCTTTGGGCTCCAGCAAGTATTTTCCTCGGCAACCTAGGTCCACCCTGACATATTATACGCACAAACACGCACATATATATATATATATATATGTATCTGATGTGTACATATTATGTCCATGTGAGCACATTAGTAGTTGTCTTTTGCAGCCATCCACTAAAAACAAACAAACCAAGCCAAGCCTAAAACACGTTGTGCATATGCATGTTATGAATACCGATTGCCTGCTTATATTGGCCTTGCATTTGGCACATTGTAGACTAGGTTTTTCAGTAGAGAGGTTGGAATAGGGGTACCGTGTTTTTTTTGTTTTTCTTTTCCTCTTCTGTAGCCTGTTTTCGTAAGGGAACCCTCCCAACCAAAAAAGAAACTGTAGACAAAGGGCACCTAGCTGGGAGACCTAGTAGACTACTAGAGGCATATCGGGGTACTTGGCTGACCCGAATCCGACAAGCCCCGGCCAAGAGGCGAAGGTAAGTGGACGTTCAGCAGCGCCTCTGCCAGAGCTGAACGGAGTATCATCCAGACCCATGGTTCTGAGAAGCACTTTTCGGAACCCCCTAAAAAGCACGGGAGGCCACTCTCAACCAAACAAAACAAACGCATATATACATACATATATGCATGAGCAAAAGCCCAAAAGCTTTCAGCGGTTGAACATATTTATAACAAAAAAAAGAGGTGATTTGGGGGGTGGTTTCCCATGTCACTCGACAACTCGACAATATCACCTCGCGCACCGCCGGCCTCAGGGGTTACCGCCTCAGCGAGGTTCTCAAAGAGGCACCCCTCTTCTTTCGGGGAGGTTCAACTTGTTCCATTTAGTGGGCAAGTCATTTGTCTGGTCTTCTGTTTGCTTAACCCCCAAGAAAATAATCATATGTCCAGTAGTGATAGATTGCTTTTGAAACCAAAAAGGAAGAAACATAGCCTCCCACCAGCTAATTAACATGGGTTTGTGCAAAAAGACCCCTGTAGAAAGACGACTTTCCTGTTGGTTAGTTGGCCTTTGCACTTCCATATTAGTTGGTGGGAGGGTAATACTCATGGAGAACATCCTGAATCCTGCACCTGGCATGGATTGAACATGGGGGCAAGTTCTCTACCAAGATTGGAGTTTGTCCACCCAGACTGCATGTACCAACACCTGACCCATTTGCAGGGTGTGGGTAAATATGTCTTACATAGGAGTGTTTAGGCAATCATCCGCAATGTTGATATGTGGCCATGGTTCAAAATCCCGTACCCCCAGTGAACATCCCAGTCCCCACTGAAACAGACTAAAATGGGTGGTGCACCTACCCCAACATGCTACCATTGGTTTTGACCCAAAGCCATGTCTTGGCAAACTTCTGCCATTTGCAACCCAGAAATCAAGGCCCGCCCCCTCGTCAAGAACCTTCGGGGGCTCGCTCGTTTTAGCCTCTCGGGAGCTCATCATAACTGGGGTGTACCATTTTTCTCACTTCCAAAGTGGATTGGCCAAATTGTCCATGCACGTTTTGTTTACCAAGATGGTCCAAACCCCAAAAGAGATGAACTAGGTACTCCAGTAGAGAGGCTGGAGTAAAGGTACCAACTTTTTTTCGGTAGTCTATTTTAGTAGGGAAACCCTCCCCCCAAAAAGGAAGCGGTAAAAGGGCACCAATTGCTGGGGGACCTAAATGGAACTCAGGGAGGGAACACCTCCATTTGCGTTCTCGTCCCCTGAAAACATGAGAAAATATATCCAGTAGTGAAATCGATTCCCTTTACAACCAACGGGGAAATAAAAAATAGTCATTTCACCAAATGGAAGAACAAACACAAAAAAGAGAAGAAGAAAAAAAACAAAACGACGAGAGCCACGTGCTCCGCAGGCAAGGCTCTGCGCCGCAGAAGTGCGCCCCGCACCTCGGCGAAATGTTGTTCTTTTTTGGCGAGAAAAAACAACTTGGGGCTGGAAAACGAAACTGCCTGGAGTCGTCTTCTGACCCTTAGGACAAAGGGGTCATGACTCCCCTTCATTTTGGGTAATGACCAACCATTTTTGAAAGGTCAGAAGGAGACTCCATCTGCTGGTTTGAAAGGAAAGCCAGAAGGAAAACCGCCGTTTTGGGGGGAGTCCGCTGATTTTGAAGGAAAGCCAACGGGAAAACGTGCTTTGAAAGCAACACTGGCTAAGAACCCTGGAGTGATTCCATTTCCCTATATATCTATACACACCAACAAGCAGTGGTTTCAACCATGTTTTTCAAGTGGTGTGAACTGTGTCTGTTTAAGGGTGCCCCAAAAACGGTGGCTTTAAAATGGATTTGCCACCATCCACAGTGGACACCATATCCCAGGATATTATCCAATTCAGAATGCCCACCAAAAGCCAGGAGTTTGAGCTAACTTCCTGGAGAACTTCCGCGAATGGCTTTTCCCAGAAGGATAACTCAATGACCTTATGAACAAAGCGAACCTCAAGGAAGCTTCACTCGGAACCCTGTCAAAGCATGGGCCCTAGGCTGAGCCAGCTATCTTCAAGCTGGTTCCGAGGAGGGGGGGAAGTGTAACGGGATTGATGTGAGGGGGGTGGCAAACCAACCTGGTTTTGGCTTGCCCAGTCAATCCCAGTTGCCCTTATAGCCGGTAACCGGCTACTGTCCTTTTGGTTTTTAGTACGGGTAAATAGATCCACTGGGTTGAGTATAAGTTGTCCCGGTCCATTGGTGCATAAATGCTTGGCGATTCGGTGAATGTTGCGCCGGTCATGAACCTGTTGCAACGCGAGGTTCCCGGAAACCACTGCCACTGCAGGAAGTTAGCCAAACAACCATAGATTCCTGAAACTGGTTTCTTGGAGGCGGTGCTTCCCACAAACATTCAAAGGCAAATGATGGTATGAACACATACTGTGCATGGTCGAAACCCTGCACCATCTAAGAAACCTGGAATGATCAATCATCTGCAAATACCAACAAACAATGGTGTCCCATAGTTTCGAAGTGGTGCGAACACACTTCGTCCAGCCACAGTATTGGTCAATTAATTGTGCGAGCAAACATAAACACATGGAACGGAGGCCCCAGCCGTTTTGCTGGTCCATCCCCACACTAAAGCAGGTCATATGGTACCTACGATCCGCATCTCCGTTGCAAACATATCAGCCCTCACACTGATAAACGCATGGCCAAACCATGGATTAAGCGAACAATCATGAATCTTAAAATCCGACCAGGGCTTATTCCAGGCTTCAGAAACAAAAAACAAACAGGCCTAAAACAAAGTGCCGAGTCCAAAGTGGCAAACGCAACTTGGGCAAAACATTTTGGTGCTCTACCCTAAACTGGTTGGCCTGGATCCAGGCAATTGCACAGGGGGTCTGGGACACGTTGCTTTTGGCAAGGCCTACTAAAATGACCTGAAGCAAAAACAACAACACAAAAGACCTACACACATGCCAACAGTGGAGCAGTGATGCCCAAATCTTGGCGACCTCCTTTAGTGCCTTGTAACTCGGACATGTTTCACCAGAGTAGATGCGCGGTTCGGTGTATCCATTTAGGGACTTGGGAGACTCACTCAATGGGACTCAGGGACTCACAGGTCCAGGTTTTTATTTTTTAGGGGAACAATCTTTTTGAGCGTGGCTTGCGCCAATGAAGCAAGATAGTAATCTCGGGAGACCAGTGAAGGGGGTTCCGTCTGGAGAGCCAAAGGCATTCGGGCCTCTCATGGGCCTGTTGGTCAAAACGATGAGCTTTTGGGGGCAACTGAGAGCAATGAGATTGACATGGAACAAAAAAAACCGCCTGTAAAGCAATCTCCTTTGGGACGGCTTTTGTGGATCCACCCCTGTAGGATATTAAAAGAGCACTGCAAAAAAGAACAACAAGGGGAAGAGCAGGTGAAATCCCCAAAAAACGCATCCAAACAGTTCTCTAGATCTGTTGATCTGCAGAGAACGAACGCCTTGCAGCCCCAGTGAAAATGAAGAGAAACGGCAAAAACAAACGAACCGCATGCAAAAGCATCGCATCGAAATCGGCCGAATCCATACGGATGTGCCTTACGAAGTAGGTCCGAGGTTGCGCTGCATTCCGGCGGGTTTGTTTTTGAGGACTACCGTGGCTCCAACTGGCAACCTGCACTTTCGCCCCTTCATGACCCTTTTTAAAATAGGGGCATGACCTTCTCACTTTTGACTTTTCGACCTTTCGACCTTTCGGTTGGTTCCCATCTTTAGTCACCCCGAAAGGTGATCGCCTTATATTTCTGGGTTTGAAAGGGGCAAGTGCGGGGGTTAATAGGGAAGTTCCCTCAACTCACTTCCCGAGTTCCGCTTCGGACTTTTGACTCTTTCGACTCGGACCATTCTAGTGATACAGACCTAGAGTCTCCATGACCCCTAGAAAAAGGGGTCATGACCCCTTAATTTTGGGCAATGACCAACCATTTTTAAAGGGTCGTGGAGACTCCAGGTAGGAGTGTCGTGACTGTTTGGGCAAATCCACTGTGGAAGTGAGTTGACAAAACACAAGAACCACGTGCCACATCCTTGCCTTTTTCCCAGTTTTTCTTTTCGTTTTCGGGGTGATTGCCGGACTCAGCTTACCAGTGACTTGTGGATTTCTTGTTTTCATGGAGGAAAAGGTGATCCTTTGCAGGTCTGAGTTGGGCGCAAGGGTCCAAAAGCCTTACCTTGATTGGTCATGGGGGGCACGCCTTGCGACCTGCTTGCAGTCGGGTGCGTTTGGGCAAGGAACTGACTGGTTGGATTATCCCTCTGGTTTTCTTTGCGACATGTTGCCAAGGGATGTTAGGACTGAATAACTTTTTGATCCAACCAATGGGTTTTCCGAATCAAACCACTAAACGTTAAACTTGTAGCAGGGGAGCAGACAGCAACCGAGGTTTGTATGGTTTCCGTCCAAGAACCTGTTTACCCTCAGCTTCGCTGTTCTTCGCAGCAGAGCAGTCCCGTTCTGGACTTTGTGAAAAACATCTCCCTGACCCCTGGAAAAAGGGGTGATGACCTCACCCCAAACAAAAACTTCCATTCGCTTAAGTCCCAGGAAAAACAAACAATCAAATGTCCAGTAATGATAGATGCCCTGCAAAAAACAACCCGGGGAAATAAACAACTTAAGCAGATGACAAAAAAACTACCGCCACCCTAAGGCTCATGACCCCTCCAGTGCAGGCCCTCGGGCCCACCCCATCGGGGGCCTTTGAAAACAGCCATTTTGAGGGCCCAAAAACCATCGGGAGCAAACACGGGGGGGAACCAAAAAATCTTAAGCACATGACCCCCCCCCCAAAAAAAAAAACAACGAAAACGACAAACCAACGGAAGCTTCGGGGCTTCCATTGATCGCATGCATGCCACGCCATGCCTGGCACTCCTGGCCGGGCTGCGAGGCCGCCTCGCCGGCGACGTCGCGCCAGGCGGCGTGCAGGGACCGGCACCCGTGGTCTCCTCGTTGCTGGGTGCAAAGCACCGGGCGAATTGACTGGCACGGAGAAGCCCCTGAAAAGTGATGGTGGGTGGGAACCACTTTCAAAAGGAAAACGCTCAAGAAGGACAACCACAAGGACAACCACCTCTCACCTCCACAAAGGCTCACCCAAGTGGGAATCACTTTCAAAAGGAAAACGCTCCCCAGGAGGTTCTCGCGAAACCGCGCGCGCGCTCCGCCGCTTTTTTTTCCTTCTCAGTACGTGGGTTAGTCGCCGCCGCGACGGCCTAAGACCTTCGTGCCAGGACTTGGCTCGATGGGCGCCATTCCCCAGAGCTAGGTCCTCCAGTAGAGAGGTTAGAATAAGTTGGTACCAACTTTTGTCTTTTTTGTCGATTTTAGTGGAACCCTCCCCCCAAGAAAGGGGTGAGAAAAAGGGCCCTCCTTCTGACCCCAAGGAAAAAGGGGTGCCCCATGCCCCGATTTCAAAAGGGTCATGGGGTCAGTTCAATTTCGGGTCATGGCCGAGAATATGTTCAAAGGGTCAGGAGGAGACTCTAGGTACTCCCCGTTTTCTCTCTTCGGCTTTGGGTTTGGTTCGTAGAGGGCCTAGGAGCACACGACTTTTGAGGCCTGGGTTGATGGGCCTCAGATTCGGGCTTCGGGTTGATGGGCCTCAGATTAGGGCTTCGGGTTGGAGGGGCTCCTAGAAAGATTCGTTGAGAGGACATCCTCAGATCCGGGGAAAATACGAGGTACCCTCAGGGACCCTCTGGGAATTGCACAACGTCTCGTTGAACACCTTTTCCGGATGAGGGAGATGCCTGCTCCACGTACGAGCCAAAAGCTTGGGCAACGTGAGGTCAAAGGTCCGATGGATACTCCAAAGGCCTTTTTGCACCGGAAGCTGGAGCTTGCAAACGCTGGCCCCACAAGAGCACGCAGATTGGCCACAAAGTGGTCGAACAGGCTGCCTTTCGCCAAAGCATCGCTCAGTGGCACCAGTTTGCAGCTTTATTCTTTGACACACGAATACTCACCTCTGAGTGAATCACCCAAGCAGAGTCACCATACTTTGTAGCTGACGCACTAAAATGATCTTCCAAACGCTCTAAGTACTCAGGTCTAGCAACTCAGGAAGTGAGAGTGTCGCCATTTCAGGCACAGAACCTACCAGATCTGTCCTCCTGCCTTTGCGCTGGTGCGAAGGCTAAGCACGGATGACACAAGCCCTCATCGCGCATTCGCCTTTCTCTGGCAGAAGGGGGGTGGAACGCCAGAGAAGCGCCTGGCCGGAGAAATCTTGGCCCCACGCCGGGCATCGTTTCGTTGAGGCCGGAGCCCTCTTTGCTGTGGAAAAGTTCAAGGCACGCGTTTGGAAAGCCGGGCGCCTTGAAAAGACCTACAGGAAGCAAGCAATACGCAACCAGCAGGTCCCCTCAAGAAAACGAGCTGAAAGTTGCGTTCGCCTCCCTTGCCCCCCTGCCCTTGCCCCACTCTCAACACAAAAAGCCGCCATGCAGGTGGCTCCTGTTCTTGGCTCGGTAGAGCCCGTGGTTTCTCTTGTGTTCCTCATTGTTCGGGAAAACAAAAAGCGATTAAACCAAACCCAAAGCCGTAAGTATGGGGTACCAAGGGACCCTCTGGAAATTATGATATTTCCGGGAAACCAAAAGGAACACCAAGTTGCATCATGTTGGATCCCGCTTGGGAAGAAGACATACACCCCAATCGAATCCTTAGGCCCCCGACAGGTTTGCGTGTTCCACCACCCCTCTCAGGATTTGATGTTCACCGAGTGAGTGGATGGGCCACAAAAGTAACCGACTAACATTGTCAAAGCCCAAAACTTGAGTCAAGTCCGAGTTCCGGAACTCAGCTCGGCAGTTGCAAAGATGTAAGATCCAAGATGGTAGGCAAAGATGTATGATGGTACCAAACATTAAAAAAAAAAACACAACAACTTAAGAGCGACCCGAATTGCAAGGAGGTGTGGACAAATGTGACGGCCCGGTAGTTACCTCGGCTCTGCTCTGGCAAGCTGAACCTTTTGGTCAATGGATGTCAACGGTGCTCGGTCAAAGGATTTAGGGATTCGGATTGGTGTAGTCCTGCCCATCTGCCCATCCTACATCCAACCTTCGAATCCAAACCCCTCAAAGAAAGGTCGGGCCCACCCAGACGCTCCTGTGGAAGACCCAGACCCTCCATTGCACACCCCAGAGGGGTTTTGGGCTCTCAAAACCTGGCCGTTTGAAGGCCCAAAATCGATCGGGAGCGTCTGGGCGATAATAATAATGAAGAGTGTCCAGATTCCAGAAAGACCAAACAGGTCCGGGAATGCTACACTGACACTTGGTAGCTTTCTGCTCCCCTGCGAAACGTGACTAACTTTTTTAGTGGTTTGATGGAAAACCCATTAGTTGGCAAAAAGTTAAAGTCCTAACATCCAAGCGAAATGCACCAAAAGTAAACCAGCCAATTTGACTCCAACGCTACGAAAAACCTCCAGACTTCTCCCAAGGACTCCCTTGCAGAACCACTACAAAACCATGGCCAAACCAACACACAAATCCAAAAACGAGTCACTGAGATAGGTGTCCTTTTGAGGGAAATAGATGGCCCTGGTAGATGAGTAAACCACCTGGTTTACCAGGGCCATCTATTTTTTGCCAAAGCAACCAAAAAGGACGCCCCTTTGGTCCGTGATTTCTCGTGGTTGAATTCCTTACTCGGCGTTTGAGCCCGAAAGTGGCGGGACAAGCGCCGAGGACCTGAACCAGAGAGCCAACCCCTTCGAGAACTCGAAAGAACGCAAGACACGGCTTGCTCGGCGTGGTGCTCGAGTGAAACGGTGAAACTCTCCAGAGCACTTCCTGAGCGCACTCCCGGGGCCAACAAAAAAGGCCCCCGAGCCTTTACCGAAAGCACGGAGTAACGCCTGGCGTATCAAGAAATACCCGCAAACCTTTCAAATATGGGCCTGTCTGCTTTGTTCCCCCTTTTTTTTGTGAATCGGGCGTGAGGAAAGCGAACCATGTTGGGGAGCCGACTTTCTGAGCACACCCGGAACTCGAACGAAGCTGAGTCACCTGAGGCCAGTTTCTTTTGTGCAGCCCGTGCCTTCTCCAGGCGCACGAGTCGTCGCGCGCAAATACGTACCCTCCCTCCCATATGGAAGGAGGGCAATCAGGATCTGATGGCTAGCCACAGCTTCAAGAAGCTGAATTTGGGCAGTGAGGTGGGGGTGTGTGTGGGTGTCTCAAAAGGCGAGACTCCGGAGTTCACTCAGATTGGCCCAAGAACGTACACACTTTTTGCTGACTGTGATCCAAGCCCCAAAAAAACAAGGAAGACATGCAACTTGGGGAGTAACACAAATCTGGGGTACACCCCAAAACTACGGGTTCTGATTCTGTTTCATAATTTAATTGTGTCCGCCTTACATATGAAATTGAATCGGGGGGACCCATGGAGACCCCAATACGGCCTCAGAGCCAAAGGGGAGGATTATGACCAATCATGGTCCTTCCAGGCCTAAGATTCACGATTAGTCACTCATTTGGCTGCAATGGCTCCCTCTAAACTATTTGATGCGTGCAGCCTTTCGCACCCGACAGCAACCCAAAGCTTGCCCATGCGATGCTGAAAGCGACCCGGCTGGCTGAGACGGAGAGGTAGCGTGACCCGCTAAATCACCAAGGCTGAATGTGTTCGAAACTGGGTACCTAGCATCTCCATTTAGGTCCCCTGGAAAACACAAATATTTCCAGTGGTGATAGATTCCCTTTAAAACCAACAGGGAAAAATCTTAACCAAATGGAAGTAGAGTCTCCTTCTGACCCCTAGAAAAAGGGCTCATGACTCATGACCCCTTCATTTTGGGTCATGCCCGACCATTTTTAAAGGGTCAGAAGGAGACCCCAGGTATGGTTGAGTGGCCCTTTGGACATCACATGTTTGGCTCGTGCTCAACGCCCACTCGAAAGTGCTCTGTCGGGAAAGCACGGAAAGTCAGCCAGAAAACATGGGTATATAGAGGAACATGAATCAATGGCATCTGCACAAAGTACTCTCATTCACCCCTAGCTCCGCCCGGAAACCGAAAGACACCCCGCCAAGCGGCGCATTCGGTCGAATTTCGTTTCCCTGTGATCCACAAGGCCTTCCATGTCCCCAAAAAATTGGACGCATGGCGAAATCAGCTTGGTTGTTGTTGCTGTCGGGCTCCACGTTTCGGAGCAGTGCAAAACCTACGTGTCGGAGCAGTGCAAAACACATGTTTCGGAGCAAGGAGTTATTGTTTTTTTTAGTTGCGCGCCGGCAGCCGTTGCGTTTGTCGGATCCATGCCTGGCAAATGGTAAGAACACCCGCTCACAGCCACCCTGTATCCATGCCAGCCGCATGGTAAGCACACCCGCTCACGCACACCCGCTCAGCACTGAATCAATACCAGCCAAATCATAAGCACACCCGGCTCACGGGCTCCCGCTGAGCACTGTATCCACGCCAGCCACATGATAAGCACACCCACTCACGGGCACTCGCTCAATACTGTATCCATGGCAGCCAAATGGTAAGCATACCCTTTTCAGCCACTGGCGCATATCATTACGACGTGCTCAAGACACTGTTGCGAGCCATGCGCATGCGCATGTTGGTCCATTGAAGTAACACATTTACCTGATTGAAGTGACACCTCCAGGCTCTAACAAAAAAGGTACCCTTTTCGCAGCCGACACGGACCCCAAAGAAACACGTGCTTTTTTAAGTGTGTTTTGGGGATGAAAACGAGAGGAAGAACTGAGCGAAACACAGATTCGGGCCAAAACAGCCCGACGGTGTCCGGCCTGGCGGGTTGTTGTTGACCTCTACAAAAAGTTCAACTTTTTGTGGGTCCGATGGAAACTCCACTGTTTCAGCGACAAAGTTAAAGTCCAAACATAGCCATAAAAATAAACGCCCAGCATGCCTCGAATGTATTCTCAACATCCGAGTTCAATCGTTCATCTGAGTGTG